ATAAGTTCCTCAGTTCAATAACATGCTTCAATGAATGACTAGTTCAACGAATCCCACAATGCAATATAAAATGCACGAGTTGACAGATAACAAATGTCATTAATTAAGATTGTAGCAGCAAGGTTAACAAAATATATCCTGTAAATAGTCGTAACACCTAAAGACAGAATAACACCAAATGGCATAAACAAGACAGGTTGGAGAGGAAAGAAGCCAAGAAGCCTGTTAATAAAAACCGAACTCAGCAAGAAGATTAAGAATTCGAATGTAAAGATGACACAAGAGATTATGAGAGCCTGGATACAATCTTTACATCTTTGTTTAAGACGACTTATTCATTAAATGACTAATACCAGAATCTCAAAGGGCCATCACATTCGCCTCTGTGAAATCATGCTAGGAATTTATCTGATAATTACTTTGAAAGTAGTCTCCATCTCAACGTACATCATTCCACGATAGCAGATAGATTATCAAATGCGGTAAGACTAAGAGAGTTACCTAATACAGAATAGTAATGAGTATCCCATAAAATATGTTTAGTGTAATCCGCGCCTCATCTTCAACAACAAAATACAAGGTAGACAAATAAAAATCTAAATGCAATAAGAAAAAGCATTTAACTCATAATAAAGTGATGATTATTTATAGAAAAGACAAACATACTTTTCACCTATCAATCCATGATATTTAGCAAAATATAACATTGAATTATCATTAAGCTTGTAACTCGTTAGTGGATTACCAACAGCGATACCCTAAAGTAAATGCAACAAGAAAATAGGATTAAAGGTATTTTAGAAATTAAAATGAATGCATAAACATACAGTCGAGAATGTAACTAACTGAAATGGTCTTGGTTTGGCAGACTATTAATTATGTGATAGATAATATGGTTGAACGTGCAATGTAAGTTTAGTTCACTTCAGGATTTGAACAAGCGAAACCTGAATTACTAGTTCAGAATTCAGCTAGCTGATTCACGAAACCCAACTGCTAACCTTGTCATTATTTCACTTCATTGCAATCACCACGATAGCTGAGCATTATCTACGGTGACTGTAGTGAAATGACAACTTAGTCAGGAGTTATATTTCAACTCGTACTAACTGGTAGAGCACCAGACAAGTAATTTGGAGGGCACTGATTCGAATCCTAACATGATTCAGACTTTTATTTCACCTTCAGTCATTACACTATATACAATGTTCCATCTGGTTTATTATGACGTTAAACACTTAAAGTGTCACAGATACTCTTAAGGCAAACTTATTGAGATATTTAGTTCACCAGTAGATTGTTTATCACTATCACCTAAGACTGACTGAACAGTTAATTGTGAAAGGAAAGTAACTTAGGGAAAACTATGAAAATTAAGTTTTACATTATTTCCACTCAATTAATTTTTCATCAGTTCATGCCTAACCCGAATCATAGGGCATAATGTATCATTCTACTGACAATAAATGAATATGAACATTTCCATTATGATATTTAGATAATATAACATAGGCAAACACATAATTTCGGTAATTCCTCGTCAGGCTTCACACTTATAAAGGAAATTTATCAATCATAGATTTTCGATAAGAATGTGCTTAACGGAATCCAAGTTGAGGTATATGAACTGGTGGATGATTATCAAAGTGAGCATATTAATAATAACAAGGATAAATTCACTGAAGTGTTTATATCATCTAGAAAATCAGTCATTGTAAATATGTTAGTAGAAAATGCATATCTTCAGGGATAGAGGAGAGAAGCAACTGTTATCTGAGACCGGCTAGATAACAGAATGTCTCATTTTATAGGATAGAATGAAACTAAGACTAAAACATGACTATTTCAGTTTGCACTTATACATTTCAATGTTCTTGTAGAGACAATTACATAGGGGTAGAACGATTCGGTAAATCCACCATCACCTACTTAAGCACAATTCATCGTGGTTAGAAAATGGAAACATGTGGTCAACCAAACGTTTTATACAGGCACACTTTGTGGAGACAAAGCATATGGTGGCAATCTGAAGGTGGTGTGTTCACGGGTGCGTACTGATGAAGTGTAGCATTCAAGGATAAAACAGCTGTTCAGTAAATCCTATTTTCAATGGTTCTCTGATTGAACTCAGTTTGTAATCAGTCTTGAAACAGACAAATTGAGGAAGAAGCGACTACAGCAATGGTTCACTTCAATTTCAACGTGTTTTGCTAGATATCTAAAGCAAAACTTCTATTCAAATCGGAGAACATTTTTACCAAAAATAAAATATTGTTTTTAGAATCGTAATTAAATATTTTGAACACAGTAATTTGTAGATCATATGATACAATAATGGATGATAAAACAAAAGAAATACTTCATCTAGTTTGCGAAATTATCCCTGGGATTGATAGATTATGTCAAAATGGTTACTCACTTTCAATTTGAATTTTGATGATTTAATGATGTGTAGTGCTAAAGTCGGAAGGTATACACCAGCATAACTTTCACCGGTTAAGAAAAAGTCTCTGTGCATATACTCCGGGAATATTTTGAGGAAATTCAACAATGCATGATAATTGTTCAGTGCTGTCTGAAATTATATAACAAAACAATGAAAACTACAAAATTATATAAAAGAAGTTACCGTGATAACGAAATGATGTTATTTACTGTCAGATACCGACAATTGTAAATTTGAAGTTGCTAACATGAATATGCGTAAAATCGTAAAAACAAATTACTAAAATAGATGACAAAATCAACTTCAAAATGTAGACAAGAACTATTGGAGGTGAGGAGTAAACGCATGAGATGTTACTTCTGGGGATTTAATACCAAAAATGTAAGTACATCTGTCTTATCTGTTTTGATTATTCTACTCCTCTTGCTTCCCAAAACTTGAAAGAATAGGGTACAGAGCCCCACGAACAGCTACCATCTAGTCAATGTCTTCACCTTTTTACACCATCGGAGTGTTTTTTCTTCGAAGTCATACTTAACGGAACCGAAAGCAAACGCCTCAGCTGTCGGTAAATATATCTATATTGTTTTCGATCACATGAACATCGGAGTAAGTCTTTGATCAATTTATCTGAATAATATTTTTCAAAATAATGTAACCAAAAATGTGCAAATTATATTTGTGTAAATCTAGGCGGAGTTGAATTAAATAATTCGAACGTTTCATTCAGCCGATTGGCCCAGAATTCTTCCGGGAAATTCCAACGTTTTGTTGGAATGATTTATTTCAATTTCCCTGGGAGTCATACAGAAATGTCCTACATAAGTTTACTTTTCATTTTAAAGAATTACAGTTATGTACTCGTGTACAACGTACCCTATTTATCAAAAATTGTAGAGAAACAGACATTTTGGTGATTGATTGTTGATAACTAATTCCCAGCTGTCCATTGGTTACCTCCAAGATAGCCTAAGTACAGTTACACTAATGAATGCGGAAAGTTTATAAGGCGAATGGCTTGCTTTTTAACAAGTATATATATATCAACATGAACACTTGTAACAGAACGAATTTGACATAAACAAATCAGTAAAGTATTTCTTTTCCCGACAGAACGCATGCTAAGACTTACAAAGTCATCATCTGTAGTTATATTGTTATCCACGGCATATGAGAATCCCACACCAGCTGGAGCTTCCAAATATAGAACATTAGCAAACTGAAGAAGAAAATATACGTATTTCTTAGAGATATAAGCGATATAACAAGCTTAACAATCAAGAATGAATAAA